TGATAGCCCATCCCAACCTTGAACCCCACTGTCATGTCTGCCCCCCCACCCCCAGTCTTCTCTTCGTCAGGCCAAACAACTACATGTCCCTCAGCTGATCCACATGGACTCTGGGCCCTTTGCCATCTTGGTTGCCCTCCTGGACCCTTTCCAGCTGTCTTTAGCCATAGCACCGAGAATGAAACACAGGCCTCCCAATGAGGTCTGACCAGTGCAGAGGACAGAGGGACCATCCCCTCCCTCCGTCCCTCCCTGACTCTACTGATCAGTTTCACATTACATTTCCTTGACTTCCCCATTACACTGTTGACTCCTATTGGGCCCTCCATTTTCTCAGACCCGCCCACCCCTGATTTCTTTCACAACATCCCCTAGTCAAGTTGTTTGGCCTTGTTTATGAGCACCCCTCCAAAGCCTCAGCTCTGGGCCCAGAGGACTTTGGGTTCTACCACCAGCTCTGCCTCCCTGTGTGGCCTTAGGCCGTTCACCTCCCTCGGCCTCTGTTCCCTCACTAAGAAGATGAAAGTACTGGTGTCCGTGGCCTCTCAGGTCCCTTCCAGTCACTGGCCTTGGGTGCTCTTTTATTGACCAAGAGGGATATTGTTCTTGAAAAGCTGAAGAGAAGATCCCGCCCCTGAAAATGCTAGCCTTTGTCTACCTCCCAGTTACCTTGCCTAGTTCTGTGCAGACCACCGGGGAAGCCGTCACAGCCCGTCCCATTCCTGCCACCATAGACCTCTAGGAAGCAGTAGGCTTCTTGGAGGTGGGATATGTGTCTAGGAAGGGGTCCAGGGAATCCCTGTTCAACCCTGAGTCTGTGACCTCTGAAATTCTGTGAGTGTGAATTTTCTGTGGAGAATGTTTATGGAGCTCAGGACAGATTTATCACCCAGCTGCCTGCCTCCAGACAAAGGCCTGAGGCTGAGTGGCCATGGCCTCACCCACCAGCGGGTCATTTATGGATGTGAGGGGAGCCTCAGACTAAACTGAAGCCTGCTAGTGGGTACTGGGTGTTTCTCCCTGGCCCATTTCTTCAGTGCCCCTGCATGAAGTGCCCTCTGTGAGGAGGCATCTGTGGCTGGCCCAGGGCCTGATCCCTGCCCTCAGGGAGCTCACAGTCCAGGAGAGGGAATAAAACGTGGATGCCGGGTGCAGCACCAGGGTCCCAGAAGTGACCGCCAGCATGATGGCGGAACGAGAAAAGTGCACAGTGGAAGGAGGACTGGCTCTGGAGAAGGGCCGAGGGTTCGGATCATGCTAACTAGGCCAGTCAGTCAGTTAGCATTCATTGCAGTTCACTTAACCTCTTGGCCTCAGTTTCCTCATCTCTAAAATGTCTTCCAAGATCCCTCCCAAGTCTGCACCTGTAAGCTTCTGCCCTGACTTCTCAGCTTCGCCACGAGGGGCCTTCCCTCTCCAGACCTCAGATTCCTCATTTACCAAGTGGGGGCGGGGCCCGTCGTCTCCACAACTGATCGTGGCTCTGGATTCTGTGATTCTAAGGGCGAGGGTGACCCACTGAGGCAGCGCTTGGTGGAGTCCAGGGAAGGGGTAGACTTTGTGCATGACCAGAGGAAGGCAGGCTTCCTGGAGGGATCGCCCCGTGACCAGCGAGGCCGACTTGGGAGGGAGGAAGGAAGAAAAGGAGACAAACCTTTGTGAAGCACCTACTGTGTACCAGATCCCGGACTGAGCGCTTGACAGATATTTTATTTGAGGCACAGCTGTGGGAAAACACAGGCATAGTCACGGGCTGTGGAGTTGTCTGTTGTGGCTGGGCCTGTTGGGACACAGAGGCACATGCAGCTGGAGACGGAGGGAGGTTCCCTGACCCACCACGCTGGGTGTCCCCCCAGCCCAGCATTTTCTGCTCAGGGCTCAAGTAGCATCCAGTGCAGTGGAAGGAGCCCCAACCCAGGAAACTGGAGCTCGGGGGTCTAGCCCCAGCTCAGCCACAGGCCCTGCCCCTCTCTGACCCTCAGTCTCCTCCTCTGTAAAATGAGAGGGTTGGAAGAGGCCCTCCCTGAGGTGTCGCCTGGCTCTGCCCTTCTCGGGGACACCGTGGTATTTGTGGTGCTGTGGGTCAGGGAAAATGCTTGCTTTCTGTTGTCTTTGGAGTGGCAGACGGATCTCTTTTCTTAACTGCCTAGGTCCTGCTATTGAGCTGGAAAAAGTAAAGTCAGAATCCCTTGAACCCGAGCCGGAATTACAGAAGACATTCAGTGAGGAGGCAAATACGTCATCCTATTATCCTGTTCCCGCTCCCGTTATGGACAAGTATATTCTAGAGAATGGCAAGGTATTATCTGCAGCCACCTCCGCATGGCCGTCCGCTGGGTGCAGGCAGAGCCGACGGTGCCCGTGGGAGCGCTGGCCTCCCCATCCCCAGCACCGTGGGGGAGCGAGCTGGCCGGGGACCCCGGGGGAGGGGGCTGGGACCGCGCTGCTGCAGCACAGATGCACCAGGACAGGCAACAAAGCAGCCTTTGAACAAAGTGCCAGTAGGTGTTTTCATTAATTATCTGCGTTATTACTACTGTTCTCCTCATGGACAGGAGCCCACTGTTTATAGCTCTTGACAGTCTGCAGAATTTGTGTGTTCCAATGTGGTGTGACACACACGTATTATTATTATTATTATTATTGTCCCCATTTTACAGATGAGTCATCAAGATGGTGACTTCCCCCTGTCCTTTCACACCCGGACTGTCAGAGAACCATGCCCTCCCTGCAGCCCCCTCACCTCACGAGTCCTTGCCATGGGGGTTCCTTGGGTGCCCTTGGCACGGGGATGAGCTAGGTGTTGTATGGATGTAGGGATGAAAAGCAGGCTAGCTCCAGAGCGTCAGTGAGGGCCCCCAGAGCCAGCGGAAGGGAAGAACTCTCTAGAACGGCAGAGTCTGAGCTCGAGAGCCAGAAAGGACCTTGGAGGCCATTGAGGCCAATGCCCATTTTACAGAGGGAGAAGCTGAGGCCCAGCGACTTCCCCAAGGTCACCTAGGCAATAACTGTCCACACTGGGGTTTGAGGCATGGCCTCAGCTTCTCTTTCTGCTCCACCAGGGAGCTCGTTGACTCCCGGTTAACATGGCAGCCACCTTATCTTTGTAGGCAATAGGCCCTGGAAGGGTCCCCGCAGAGGCCGCTCTTGAACCCTTCCTACCTCTGCCCAGGTCATCGGGTCCATCCTCTCTCCCCAAGAGGCTCACAGCATGATCAGGCTGGGGAGGGGCCAGTGCTCCTACTGCCATCTAGCCTGATGTGTGCACATTTTGGAGAGGAGGAAACTGAGGTCCATGGAAGGGAAATGGCTTGCCCAAGGTGACCTGAGAGAAGATTTAATCATAGGATCGTCGATTGGGAGGTGGAGGGAGCCTGAGAGGTCATTGAGACCAGCCTTCTGCTTTACAGAGGGGAAACTGAGGCAGAGAAGGACAGTGACTTGCCCAGGGTCACACAGATAGTAGGTGTCAGAGGAGGGATTGGAACCCAGGCCTTCCGACTGCATCCACTACAGCATGCTGCCTCTTGGCTTCCTCGTTTCATAGAAGGGGAACCCAGGCCACTGGGGAGAAGTGATCAGGTCGAGGTCACCTGGGGTCTTGGTGGGACTGAACTTGTCACAAACTCATAGGATGTCAGCGTGAAAAGGCCATTGGGGTCATCTTGTCCAGCTCCTCTGAGGCCCAGAGAGGGGAAGGACGGTGCCACACGTAGTCATCGTGAGAGGGCAGCAAGGCTGCGTTGGTGTTCTCGGCTCTTCCTGGCATCTGACTCAGCTCCAGGACCGTTCCCACCATTCAGGTCCCAGATTTCTCTCTCCCTCATCAGTGGACATAACAAACTTTAGGGATAATCACTAGAGAGCCCACATACTACCCTAGTATCTGCAGGATGTTCAAAGACCTGCCCAGGGAAGGCCCCCCACCAGCATGTTGGGTGCATCCTCTGGAGGAGAGGGCAGCTCTGGGGGGCATCAGAGGCATCCTCGGTGGCATCTCTCTCTGACAAGCTCCCACACTGACCAGACTGTGGATCCACTGAGTTATTAGAGACCACCAAGGAGGGGACCGTCCCCTGCAAAGTCGGCTGGGCCCTCGCTCAGCAGCCAGTGCCCTTTTTCTGCTGCTGAGATGTTTCTGGTTCTCAAGGACAGTGCTTGGGCCCCCGTGACCCTTTCTGAGTCTGTCAATATCAAATCACATCATTCTGGGCTTGGAGAGGGCTTTGACCTCCATGCCACGTGGGATTCTGAGACCAGGGCCCTAGTTTCATCGCTGTCATTTACTAGCTTTGTGGTGCTGGCTGAGTCACCTGACCTCTAAAGTGGAGAAAGAGTAGCTGAGGCAGGTGGTGGAAGGGCCTGAGAGATGCTTCAGTGATGGGATCATGGACCAGGGACCCTCCAGGCCACCATGTCCTCTCCAAAGACTCTTTCAGCCCTAAATTCTACAGTCACATGATGTAGCCTTGCAGGGCCAGGGGATCTGGCATGATCTTAATCTAAATGACATATTCCCCTCCTGTTACCGTGTGAGATTTATCGCTATCTCCACTATCTCCATAGTGCAGAGCTTTATGGGTGAGAACCATGTCTTAGCTGCTGTGTGGGAGGAGACACACAGTTTGGACAAAATGCAGGCCCTGCCCTCGTGGAGCACACAGTCTAGGAGGCGAGTAGTGTTACCTGATAAATGCCCTGGAAAAGGGCAAACTGAGCATTTTCTGGGGGCAGCAGTGAGGAAGGTCAGTGCCATTGGGGGAGAGAGAGCATGGGAGGATGTTGTGAAATTGGGGCGGGGCAGGGGAAGGCTTTGAATGCCAAGACAAGGAGTTTGGGCTTTACTTGGCGAGCTCTAGAGAGCCACCGAAGATTTCTGAGCAGGTGAGCAACCTGGCCTCACCATGATAAGATATCATTAAAGGAGGTAATGGTATTGATGACAGACCATCCTTTGAGTGTGTTTATAGAGGGGCTCATAAAACACGGGAAGGCTGGTGGGATTCCCATGTGTGTGCTTTCACTGAGGTCTCTGACTCTTGATAGGACAGAGAAAGTTGTTTGCCACGTCAGCATCTTTCCCCATACCTGGTCACCCAACCTGCATTTAATTCCCAGAAACATAGGTTTAGAGCTACAAGTGTGCCTCATGCTGCCTTGGGAATGAAAGGCACAAATGCCCATTAACATCTTTATTTTTTTTAATTTTTAAGAATGTTTTCATTTATTTCATTAACTATTTCCCAGTTACATGTGAAAAAATGTTAACATTCATTTTTTAAAATTTTGAATTCCGAATTCTCTCTCTCCCTCCCATACCTCCCCCACCATTGAGAAGGCAGGCAGATATGGATCATACGTGCAAAGTCACCATTAGCATCATTAGTGTTGACAGATTATTCCTGGGAGCTCCAGCATTTCCCTGAAAGGGTTCATCAGTGAGAGAAGTAAGTTATCCCTAGTGGCCTCATTGCTCCTTGTCTGGCCTTTGGGGCGATTGGAAGATCTCTACAGGAGCCCCAGGGAATCAAGATTTCTAGGCTCAGGTGGTCAGGTGCGTCGCCTTGGCCAAGTGCCCTTCCTTCTCTGGGCCTCAGTCTCCTGTCCTCAAAAGGAGAGAGCTGGAGGCAGACAAGCCTCGAGTTCTGTGCTCAAAGGCTCTTTCTTCCACCAGCATAGCTGAGATTGATGAAGCCAGGCCTACTACAAGGGAAACCTTTCCTAATGGAGGTCTTGGGGCTGGGGGGTTCATCATGCATCAGAGGAGCCTTGGAAGTTAGGACTGAACCTTGTTCCATATGCACAAGCTCCAAGTTGTGGACAGCCTTTGTTTCCTTGGGCTGGCCTTCGGGTTGGAGGAGCTACTGGAGAGAGCCCAGGATCTAGAGGGGACAGACTCAGGTTATGATTCTGGGCCTCCGCTTCCTGATCTGGAGAATGGGGTTGGAGATAACCCCAATAAGGCTCCTCTAAGCTCCAAATCACGACCCTAAGGGATCGTTCCCTGTATTTCATACCCTAGGGCAGTCGTCAGGACTACAGAATCAACTTTGACATCTCCATCTCTCCCCATCCTCGAACCCATCCCCAAGGCAGGCAGAAGCGGTGGAAGGGCCTCAGAAAGGGCCTTGGGGGACTTTGAGGGGACATGATTGGCTCTAGGAGAGGTTTCAGGGAGATATTCTGGGGCTGGAGCCTCAAGCCCAGCCAGCTTCACAGCCAGTCACAGTTAGGGCAGGTCGCAGATGGTCTCATGTAATGTAGCGTAGTTTCCCATATGTTAATGTGACCTTCTCTGTCTTATACAATTCTCCTAAAACCGACTTTTTTACCCACAGGAAAAAATGTATCATGTTTCTTTCAGTTAGTCAAACATTTATTAAGCACTACTATGTGCCAGGCCCTGGGCTAAGTGCTGGGGATACAAAAAAAAGAAGAAAAACAGTCCCTGCCCTAATGGAGCACACAGTCAGCATGCCACAGCTGTGTGTGAACAAGTCGGAGACAGTGTAGATGGGGGCACAGGAGGGGTGACGCTAGAGCTGTGATATGAAGGAAGCCAAGAAGAGATAAGGAGGGAGAGCCTCCAGGCATGGGGGATGGCCAGAGAGAATGGCTGGAGTGCAGAGATGGAGTGTTGTGTTCCAGGAAAAGCCAGGAAGCCAGGTTACCGGATCTCACAGTATGTGCAGAAAGGATGCTGTATTTCAGAGAGCCAAAGGGTGTCAGAGCTGGGAGAGGCCTTAGGGCAGAGAACGTGGCATGTCAGAGCTGGGAGGGCCATAGAACATAGAGAAGAATGTTAACTGAAGATGCTTGAGTGGAGTGGCGTCTCTACTAGGGGTGTACTGAGGAATGACAGTGGGCAGCCAGATGAGGGCGGGCCTGGAACCCCAGCCAGCAGCTTCCAGTGGTACAGATACAGTGTGTCCTAGTGGTTGGTGAGCCAGCTCAGAAGCCCCCAGGCCCTCCGCGTGGCAGCAGGGTGGTTGCCTGTCTCGTCAGTAGAAGGAGTTTTCTCACCAGGCGTTCCCCATCGTGGGCAAGCCCCTTCCCTGGGTTTGAGCTACTGTCTGAGTAAAGAGGGTTCCTGGCCCTGTTTGTAGCATGGACCCTAGAGGGACACCATCTGATAAAGCCCTTGGGTGGACCCCTTCCCAGAATAAGGTTTTGGAAAGCATAAAATACTTAGGATTGCAGAGGACACCAGTGATGCTGGAACAGGTGTCAGACTTCTTTTAAAATCCAGTTCACAGACCTCTGGATGTGTGTGATATGGGTAGCCATGAAAGGTGTAGACGGGAGGGGTTTGGTGGGAGCTGCCCAGGAGAGGCCATGGAGCCCGACAGAGGGACTCCAGGCTTCTGCCTGCTTACCAGCTTTGTGTCCTTGGGGAAGTCCTTTCTTCTCTGGTCCTCAGTTTCCTCCGTGATAAAATGAGGGCATTGACCTGGAGGATCTCTCAAGGTCCTGACAGCTTTAAGGCCTGTGTTCCTCTCCTCCCAGGGGTGGCATTTCAGCTGGGCCTAGACACAAGGGCGCCATCTTTGATGCTGTGCTGCTTAGACTTCTCCTTTGCCAGGCTCTCTGCCCTGCAGCGCTGGCAGCTCTTTGAGGGCAGGCCGGCGGTCATTTCCAGTCCAAGCATGAGGCCCTGTACACATGGGAGGGTGTGTGACATGGGACAGACCTTTTGGGCCATCTAAGGCAGCTGGTAAATGTTGGAGCTAAGCCTGGAGCCCCCCATTCTAGGGGCTTCTCCTCCATCCTCTGTCAGGCTCCTTGCAGCTTCCTGGGACCTAACACGCAGGAAGCTGGCTGCCCCAGAGCTCCCCCGGCTCTCTTAGCCCCCACAGGCCCCGCAAACCTGTCTCAGCATGTCCTTGTTCCCAGGTAACCGACTGCTCCTCTGATTTCCGCCCCGCCAGGTCCACCTTGGAAGTGGGATCTGGGTTGATGAGGAAAGGTGGCACCAGCTGCAGGTCACCCAAGGAGACTCCAAATACACCAAGAACCTGGCCGTCATGATCTGGGGGACGGACGTGCTGAAGAACCGCAGTGTCACCGGCGTCGCCACCAAGAAGAAGAAGGACGCCGTCCCCAAGCCGCCCCTCTCCCCTCACAAACTGAGCATCGTCAGAGGTGGGCCCCCCCAGCCCTGGAGGCCCCATTCTCGGGGCCAAGGGCTCACTGGTCCTTTAGGCTCCTGCCTCGGGTCCTGAGGCCAGCCAGGAAAGAACCAAGCAGGCAGAGGAAGCGAAGGGGCGGGGCTCGGGACCAAGGGTCTCCTCTGACAAAGAATGGGTGTTCTGTACTGCTGTGGTCCTAGCTGCTGCACGGGGCACGCGGGGTCTGGGCTGGGGGTGCTAAGGCCTCTCCAACGTTCTGTGGTCTCAGGGGCCACCCAGCTTGGACGTTCTCCTGTCTTTTTCAGATTGGGCATTCTGTGTTCTAGGTTCCAAAGTCCTTTCTAGCTTCCATTTGCCTCCCCAGTCGTGGGACCCTCAACGCCAGTTCATTCATTCCTTCAGTCTGCTCCAAAGTTCCTGCCAGAGCTCTGTGTGTCCAGGGATGAGGCACCTGGTCCATTACTGGACGCCCCGCCAAGCTGCGGCGTCTCCTGCCCGGGCCTCCTTTCCTCCTCTGGGCCAGAATGGGACTTGGTGGTTCTTTCAGCACTGACATTCTATAATTTTAATATTTCAAGTCAAACTGGTTAACTCAGGGCTGGAGATGGTGAAGGCAGGAAAGTGAGCCCAGAGCCGGGGTGGCCTAGGAGAGCATTGCAGGGACTGGGGCTTATAGGGAGAGTCCTGGGAGAGAGAAGGGAAAGGCCGTGTTCTGGATTGTGGAGGTGGAACATTGGTGCGTGAGGACCAAGTCAAGGGCTGACCTTCCCTGTGTGGGGGCCAGGGAGGCCAGGATGCTTTGAGGGGCGTCAGAATGGCAGCTGGGTGCCCTGGGTACAGGCAGGGGTCATGGTGGACTCCTGAGGAGGCTGGGGAGTGTCACCATGGGGGTGGAGGAACAGCAGCCGCCATGCTCAGGTGGGGCTGGTCTGGTGGAGAGGATTCTTGTTCAGGTTTGGATAGGACGCCGAGGCCCCCGAGGTCCTGGCCAGCAAGAGAGGGGTCCCCAAAGAGGGGACGTGACACGGATGATTACTATTATAGGATTGAGATTGAGATTGAGAGCTGAAAGGGGCCCTCAGATGTCACCAGGTCCTGCCCCATCATTTGATAGATGAGGAAACCAAGGTATAGAGGTCAGATTATTTGCTCAAGGTCTCACACAAGTTGAACCCAGCTTCTCTGACCCTAAGCCAGTGTCCTTTTATGGGACCTTACAAGCCCTCCTGCTTGTAACTGCTCTGGGCTAGTGCGTGATAGACTGTGAAGGGCTCCCTGAGCTCAGTGGAACTTTGTCCTGACTGGGAAGGGCATTGGGCAGGCTCTGTGTGTGCCTGAGGCACTGCCTGGCAGGCATCTCTGGGGAACCGGGACTTTTCACAAGTCAAGGATGGTGGAGAATCACCATGTACGGAGCCCAGCCCTGCACAGTGACAGAGCCCCAGTGAACAGCACAAGAGGGAATTTCAGCTATCATATGAGGAATAGCAAAAAGGGACAAATTTAGGGTAGAATTAGAAAACATTAGAGTCAATAGAGAACAGAGAATGTCAAGCTGGGAGGGGCCTGAGAAGAGGGGGATGTCAGAGCTGGGGAAGGGCCTTAGAACAGGGAATGTTCAGGCTGAGAGTGCTCTTAGAACAGGGAATGTCAGAGCTGAGAAATCAGAGAATGTCAGAGCTCTGAGGGCCCTTTGAACGTGGAATGAGCAGCATCAGAGCCCAGAGGAAGCTGAGTGGGACACAGACAGTCATCTCACCTGACCCCTCCCTTTCACAGATAAGGACTTGGGCCCTTGGAGGGAAGGGCATGCCCAAGATGGCCCTGGGAGCCAATGGAGAAAGGCTGGAGCCCGTCCCCTGGCCCCCAGTACTGACTTCCCAGTTTCCCCTGGGCCCTTCGTATAGCTGGGCCTGTTTCCTTCCCACTTTTTGTGTCTGTTCCAAACTGCACTTGGCCCCCTCTTTCTTCTCATGTTGATGGGCAAATATAGATCATTTTTATTGTATTATATATCTCTTTGCCATCTTATTATACACGGTGGATAAGCAGACGTGAGCAAAGCTGGGGCCTCCAGAGGCTGGGGGAGGATGGGGTGCATGAGTCATCCTGAAGGAGGAAGGGAACCCCTGCCCCCACACAGACACTTTCCAGGCCTGGAAGGCTACTCGTAGAATTGCCAGAGAAAGGGGAGGGGTGGACAGAGAAACTTTTGCTGAATTTCAGAGGGATTCCCGAGGAGGGCCAGGCCCAGACTCTGGGGACCATTTATCACTTTGTGAAAGCATGCAGTGATGCTGCTCCTTGTTTAGCCGCCGTCCCGCTGCTTTTTAGAAGTGATGAAGCCCAGTGTGGGGAGCTGGAAGGAGTCCCCCAGGCCTCCGTGTCCAAACGGGGTCACCACCGTGAAGTCCCGACAGGTGGCTGTCCCAGAGGAGAAGCAGAAACCTTCTCACCCAGCCCTTCCCCAAGGGAGGCCCCCCGCTGGTGCATGAGCCTTCTCCAAGCCCTGACCTCCCTCTCCTGGCCCCAGGGCTACACATGCCCCTCTCGCTCATCTTTTTTTCCTCCGTCTTACCTGTCCCGTTTATCCCCGAGAGCCCATGGCCCCTTCAGGCTGATTCTGCTGCCTGGAAGTATAGATTTAGGAGTCATCCAGTCCGGTTCTCTCATTTTACAGATGAGGAAACTGAGGCTGAAGTGAGTAGTTTGGGAGGGAGGGCATCAGGGAAGTCTTCCTGCAGGGACGGGGATGAGGAAGACGGGGCTGAGTGAGGTGGAGGTGAGCAGGGGAGGTGAGCTGCAGGCATTGGGAAGCCCCAGAGGCGGAGAGTTGTCTGAACAGCAGAGAAAATCTGACCAAACCCACGTACGGGAGGGGAGATGGCGTCCACTGAGGCCGGGCCACCTTGCGTAGGGCTGTGCAAACCCAGCGGAGGTGCCGTGCTCGGGCTCAGGTCTCTCACGCTGGCTCCTCATCCACGCTCTCTTCTCTCCCTGTCTCCCCGCAGAGTGTCTCTACGACCGAATAGCACAAGAAACCGTGGACGAGACGGAGATCGCACAGAGACTGTCCAAGGTCAACAAGTACATCTGCGAGAAGATCATGGACATCAACAAGTCGTGTAAGAATGAAGAGCGGAGAGAGGCTAAGTACCACCTGCAGTGAGCCGGCGTCCATCAGCGCGCCCAGCGCGCCGCAGCCGGGGCCTTTCGCCGGGCCTGACTCGGGCCGCCGGGGCCGCGACACGCCGAGCCGGTGGGGAAGGGCGGGCGGGCGGGGCGGCGTTTGGAGGAGGGCCCGGACCCACGGCTTTCCCCCTCCGAGCCGGCCGCCTCGCCAGCCCGCCACTCGTTCAGATGTCAGCCATGCAGGGGACAGAGCCTTGATCGTGGCGGCCAAACACCTGGGTTCAAAACCCAGTGCCAGCACTTAGGAGACCTGGGACCTTGGGCAGGTCACTTCGACTCTCCAGGCCTCAGTTTCCCCATCTGTCCAATGGGGATCATAATCCTTGCACTACCTACCTCACAGGGCTGTTGTGAGGAAAGCGCTTTGGAGACTTGGAAGCGCTCTGGAAATGGGAGCTCTTGTTATCCGTACGCCACCCGCCGCCCACAGTCGTGTTCTGCTTTCCGAGGGGGAGGGGATGTGAGTCTGAGGGGGGAGGGCTGGGAGGTGTAAAGTGTTTGACTGGGATTGGAGCTGAGCTGTCTCACTCCTGCCAGGACCTCTGTTTCTATCTCTGTTCAAACGTTTTGTTGTATAATAAAGCCTCATGATTTCTTTGAAGAGTCAACATCCAGTTAATGCGTGTCTGCCCGAAACCACTGCCCTCTCTGGCTGCAGCATCCCCCAGGGTGACTCAGACCATTTTCCTAGGGGATTCGTTTGTTCGTTCGTTCTGGTCCGCACCTGTGCTGCCGCTGTTGGGTACTTCCCCGGTGGGGGCTCGCCCTCCGTAGGCCAGTGCTGAACGGCAGCTTATACGGAACATGCAGTGGGAGGGTTCCTATTGCAGCGACACTGGGTGCTCCGCGGGGTCCTTTCCTTATGTCCACATGGGCGTGGGGGTGCAGCAACCCCTGCTGAGAAAGCCGCTTCTCTCCGTCTTCTCCCCCGTTAAATGAGGGCTGCAATAAGGCCTACCTCACAGGGTTGTTGTGAGGATCCGCTGAGGTAATGCATGTGAAGCTCTTTGCAAACCTTAAGGCTATTGAAAAACAAGCATTTATTAAGTGCCTGCTGTGTGCCGGGCACTGTGCTAGGCAGTAGGGGCACAAGGCAATGAACAAAGCGATCCCTGATTTCAAGGAGTTTACATTCTACTGGGGAAGATAAGACGTGAGTGCAGAAGGGTATTCGGAAAAGTGACAAGGCAATCTGGGAGGTAGAGTGTGAGCAGTAATTGGGGAGGGGGTCAGGAAAGACCGTGGAGAAGGTGGTGCGTGGGCTGCGTCCTGAAGGAAGACGGGGGTTCTCTGGTGTGGAGGTGAAGAGGGCGTGTATTCCAGGCCTGGGGTACAGTGAGGGCAAAGGCCTGGAGATGGGAGATGAAGCATCATCATGTATGAGGAACAGAGAGAAAGCCAGTTTGGCTGGACTGTTAAATGAAGAAAACCACTTGGGAAGCTAGGCAGAAGACGGACTGAAGTGGGGAGAGATCTGAGACAGGGAGAGCCAGCCAGGAGACCCTTGAATGGTCTGGCTAGGAGGGGATGAGGGTCTGGACTCAGGATGAAGCCCTATGATTAGAGAGACAGGGTCAAGTTGTGGAGGTAGAAACAGCAAGGTTTGGCCAGTGATTAGTGTGAGGGAGAGGCAGGAGGCAAAGATAATGCCGAGGTAACAAACCTGAGTGACTGGAGATGGCGGTACCACAGAACTTTGGGAGAGGTTTGAGTTGGGTGAGAGGAAGGTCATGAGCTCTGTTTTGGCCCCAGGGAGCCCGAGGTGTATCTGGGATGTCTCGTTGAGAATGTCCGGTAGGTGTTTGGTGTTGCAGGCCTGAGGCTCAGGAAAGTGGTGGACTGGATGATCAATCTGGACGTCAGAGGTCATAATTAACCTCGTGGGAGGCAGTCAGTCAATCAACAAGCATTTATAAGTACCTACTATGTGCTAGGCTCTGGTGGTACACAGAGAGAGAATAAATAGGCCCTGCTGAAAGTAAGCTTCCATTCTAGTGGAGACAAGTAGCCATAAAAAACACACAGAATAAATATAAAGTGAACAAATGCAAATATATATCAAATAATAACAGTAGCATTTATGTAGCACCTACTATGTGCCAGGCACTGTGCTAAATGCTTTTCAAATATGATCTCATTTGATCCTCACAACAAACCTGCGAAGTAGGTGCTATTATTATCCCTATTTTACAGTTAAGGAAATTAAGACAAAAAGGGTTAAATGACTTGCCTAAGGTAACAGCGAGTAAGTGTCTAGGGCTGGATTTGAACTCAGGTCTTTCTGATTCTAGGCTCAGCGCTCTATCCACTGTGCCACCTAGCTGAGTAGGGTTAGGGTTAGAGTCGGAGACAGACCCAACCCCAGAGGAAAAGACAGCTCCAGGAGGTGGAGGTAAGGAGGGAGGGCATTCCAGGCATGAGGGACAGCCAATGCAAAGGCCTGGAGATGGAATGTCGACATGAGTGAGAAACAGAGGGAAGCCAGTTTAGCCGGATCATCAGGTTCAGCAGTAAAGGAAAGTCCTGTAGGGTTTTTTGAGAGAGAGTGGAGTTGGCTTTAAGAGTCAAACAGAGGACTTGGATTCTAGAGAAAATAGGGAGTTTACGGAGTGTGAGGGGGAAGGAAGGTGACATGGTCAAATCTACACTTTTTAAAAATTTTATTTTTTCCTAATTACATGTAAAAATACAATTCTTAACATTAGTTTTTTAAAATTTTGAGTTCCAAATTCTTGCCCTCACTCCCTCCATCTCTCCTCCCCCCTCCCTGAGACAGTAAGCAATTTGATATAGGTTATATATGTGTGATCATGCAAAGCAGTATTTCCATATTAGCTGTGTTGTGAAACAAAACACAGACCCACAGAACCCCCCCCCAAAAAAAAAGAAACCCATGGAAAAAATTAAGAAAGTGAAAAATATCATGCTTTGATCTCCATTCAATCTGTATTAGTACTTTCTCTGAAGGCGGATAGCATTTTTCATCACGAGTCCTTTGGAACTCTCTCAGATCATTGTGTTTCTGAGAAGAGCTAAATCATTCACAGTCGATCATCATACAATATTGCTGTTACTGTGTACGATGTTCTCCTGGTTCTGCTCATTTCACTTTGTATCAGTTTATGTGAGTCTTTCCACATTTTTTTGAAAGCATCCTGCTTGTCATTTCTAAAAGCACAACAGTATTGAATTGCAATCATATACCGTAACTTGTTCAGCCGTTCACCAACTTTGCCACCACTAAAAGAGCTGCCATAGCTATTTTTGTACATATAGGTCCTTTTCCTATTTGTTTGTTTTTTTTCCTTTCAGATACAGACCTAGGAATGGTATTGTTGGATCAAATGGTATGCACAGTTTTATTGCCCTTTGGGCATAGTTCCAAATTGCTCTCCAGAATGGGTGGATCAGTTCACAACTCCACCAATAGTGCATCAGTAACCCAATTTTCCAACATCCCAGTATTTATTGTTTTCCTTTTCTGTCATGTAAGCTAACTTGATAGATGTGAAGTGGTACCTCAGAGTTGTTTTAATTTGCATTTCTCTAATCAGTAGTGATTTAGAGCATTTTTTCATATGACTATAGATTGCTTTGATTTCTTTGTCTGAAAACTGCCTGTTCATATCCTTTGACCATTTATCAGTTGGGAAATTACTTGTGTTCCTATAAAATCGACTCAGTTCTATGTGTATTTGAGAAATGAAGCCTGTATCAGAGACATTTTCTGTGAAATATTTTCCCCAGCTTTCTGTTTTCCTTCTAATCTCAGTTGCATTGGTTTTGTTTATGCAAAAACTTCTCAATTTAATATAATCAAAATTATCCATTTTATATTTCATAATGCTCTCTATCTCTTGTTTGGTCATTCATTCTTCCTTTATCCCTAGATCTCACAGGTAAACTATTCCTTGCTCTCCTAATTTGCTAATGGTATCATCCTTTATGTCTAAATCATGTACCCATTTTGACCTTATCTTGGTGTATGGTGTGAGATTTTGGTCTATACTTAGTTTCTGCCAAACTGCTTTCCAGTTTTCCTAGCAATTTTTGTCAAATGGTGAGTTCTTGTCCCAAAAGCTTGGATCTTTGGGTTTATCAAACACTAGGTTGCTATGGTTGTTTACTTCTGTGTATTGTGTACCTAATCTATTCCATTGATCCACCACTCTATTTCTTAGCCAGGACCAGATTGTTTTGATAATCACCATTTTATAATATAGTTTGAGATCTGGTAAGGCCAGGCCACCTTCCTTCACATTTGTTTTCATTAATTCCCTTGATATTCTTGACCTTCTTTTCAGATCTACACTGAAGGAAAATTACTTTGGCAGCTGTATGTAGGGTACTGAGATGGGGAGAGAAGAGGTATGAAGACAAGTTGAAAGACTGTTGCAGTAATCTAAGGGAGAGGTGATGAGAGCCTGAGCTCAGGTGTGAGTGGAGAGAAGATGTTGGGTTTGAAAAATGTTATGGGGTAGAGATGGCAAGATTTGGCAACTGATTGGATATGTGGGGAAAGGGAGAAAGATGCATCTAGGATAATGCCTAGGTCATAATCCTGAGATGATGGGAGGATGGTGGTGCCTTTAATAGAGGCAGGAAGTCTAGAAGGGGGAGGATTTAGGTGGTAAGATAATGAATTCAGTTTGAGATGCATTGAGTTTAAGATATCTCCAGGAAATGTAGTCTGAAAGTCCAGTAGGCAGATGGTGATGGAGGACTGAAACACAAACTGGGACGAGGGATGTAGGCCTCTAAGTCATTTGTTAGAAACAATAAATTCATGGGTCCTGGTGAGATTACCCATAATAGAGGGAGAAGAGGAAAGGAGAGGAGAAAGGAAGAGAAGAGAAGAGAGAAGAAGAGAAGAGAAGAGAGAAGAGAAGAGGTGAGATTCAAAGGCAGAACCTTGGAGAATACCACAGTTAAGGGGAGTGATATGGATGACCAGCCAGCAAAGGAGACTGAGAGCAGTCAGATAGATGGAAAGAGAACCAAGAGAGGGCAGTGTCACCACA